CTCCCCACATCACTGTAGCACTTGGGCAGTTCCGGATGAGCATCTTTCATTCACTCCAGTAGTTTTATATGCAATAAAAAGGAGAGGAGGAAAACATGACCTTCAAAATTGATCCCTAGGGGCCTTAGAAAAATGCAATGCAACTCCACACAGCTCTGACTCTGCTGAAGCAGCAGCAGGAGCAGGAAGGTGCCGATACCTTTTGAAAGAGGATCAGCTATCCAATGTCGCAGTTAGATGCTCGTTTTTCCCTATCACGGAACTAGCGAGGCACCTGAAGCTAAGATGCAGCTCCCACGTTTTATCCTGTGCTTGGCTGCCTGCTGCTGCATGACAGCAGCCTGCACTTCCCACTGCCTCCCTCCCACGGCTGCAGCGGCGGCCCGGCAAGCCTGGGGACACCATCGGCCGCACGCGCAGCCCGCTCTCCTCACTCGGAAAGCTCCCACGTCTGTGCTCAGCAGCAACTTTGTTTTGCTCTGTACCACTGCCCTCTACTCACCCTTACATGCAATTACTGCTTTTGGTTGCTATTTTCAATCTATGGGAGAAAAAATACTTTAAAAAAATCCACTTACCTTCAGAGTAATTGGTAGAGAAAGCCATGCATAAGTGTTTCAAAAGTGTTGTAGATAGAAACATTGAGCAGACCTTACGGTGATTCCATGATAATGCAAAGCACACACACACACACACACACACACACACACACAGAGAAAAATCCATCATTTCAAACTGGATACAGAGAAACAGTAAAATAGAAATTATCTTAAATCAGTGATTCCCAACCTCTACTTCATGTTGGCTTCACACATGCCACTTTTGACTCCTTGCTTTCGGATGCAAAATCATTTGAAGTAAAAATGTTATATTATAAATTCATATATACATACACACACACATATACATATATACTTGAGCACTTTCTTTCCATTACTTCCTCATTTTTAAAAGGAAACATGATCCCAAGTTGGCATACTGGAATATTGTATGGAAAGTAAAAGTATTGTATGGAAAGAAAAAAAAGGAAAACGTGACCAAGTTCTCTGAGCCAGGTAGGACAGTGAACTCTTAATTCAATGGCAGACCCATGCTTTAAACCTCCCACTATCACCTCCAATGAAAAGAGAGACAAATAAGTGTGTTATTTTATCTGACCAAATTCAGGCTTGGGTATTTTGGTCCCCCCTGCTTCAGGCTTCATTTTCCACTACAAGGAATATCTGAAATTTTTAAACCACATCCCAGACACACAGTCACGTCTGCAGACTCCCATTCAACTGTCACCAGAATTACAGAGAAAGCTAACACAGGTCCTGGGAAGATTGTATCCCTAAATGGTTGGAAAGGAAGAAGTGTTTCCACAAGCAGTATGAGTAGGCAGAAGAATTTGTCTGCGGAACATCTTTCCCTCTACAACCTGTAGT